ATTGAGTATGATGGTGAAATCTTCTTTCCTGAGGGGAACATGGGTGACCCTGGGTGAGCAGAGAACACAAAAAAAGGAATTATCTGTTTTATGCAATCAGTAGATCAAGAGATAACAAAAACGCAGAAATGTCATGAAGTCCATGCCTGTCTCATGTACGTTAGCCATCCATGTGCCAAGAAGTTAGGATCGGAGGCATCTGGTCTGTCAGAAAACAGAGTTAAAAGAAAACCAGATAAAATTTTGCCTTTTGTTCTCAGATGATCAGAGTGAAGCAGACAGGGATGGAGGGATGAAATACTTCTAAAACAACGTGAGGCTGCAGCAGGGCATGGAGTCTGTGCTCCTGCGGTTTGGGAGACCACCCAAAGCCCTTTGATTGATTTACAGCCCACTGACCTCTCCTGGTGGTTTTGTTAACCCAAAATGGCAGCAGGTAGACAGAGGAGCAAAACACTGCTGCTCAGCTTTTGGTTGGGTTTTAGTTGCGAACCAGGAGCCCTCCTGCACCTTCCTCTGCCATTCTTGGTGCTGGCAGCTTCTTTTTGGTGGCACCTCGCCCACTGCAAGGGCTGGCTCAGTGCTTGTCAGTCACCATGAAGGCAGCCCTTCAGGTACTGGTCCCAGGGAGCACTTCCCTCCCTCAGGTCGTCATCTGCAATTAGAGATGAGGTTATAAATCCAAGCACCAGGGTGATGGCTGCATATGCATCCTTGGGAAATTAATTCAGATACTGCAATTGCAACTTCTTCTCCTACTTCAGTCCTTCATTGTCTTCCCGTAAGACCAAGAAGGATTTGGTGGCAACTTCCCTTGATTCCTTCTTCACTCTTATTCTACATTCAAAGTCATTTATCTATGCAAATTCCTCCTCTGGTCCCATTACCCATCCATCACTTCGTCCCATTATCCCTACGAAAAGTCCAATGGCTCTGGCTTCTGCAGGACATCTTCCATTTGGAGGTCAAAGAGCCTGAGATGTCACCATCATCCTATTTTTCTAGGGGCCACCCTTCTAGTCCATCATAATACACTGAGAGCCCTGGATGTCTTTGTCTCCCATTCTATTGTAATGCAGTAATACTGGATGCCTTTTTCTCCTATCATAATACAGTGATAATGGATGCATTTTCAATATCTAATCTGATGGTATGTTGCTCTCTAACCAGCCCTCTAGACCTGTGACGAAGTTCTTGTAATAAATTCAACACTAGAGCCAGCTGAAAACATCTCAGAAGAATGCTGTGGGCTTTTTCTCCCACAGTAAAATGCAGTCCGACTGAAACAAAAACATTTGGAAGGAGCCGTTTAGATTTTGACTAGGATGTATCAAAACAGATTGTTTCAACTTTTTCGTTTGTTTTGACAAATGTATCAAAATGTTTCATTTCAATGAGGTAGAAACATTTGGGTTTGATTTTCTCCTGGTTTAGTTTTGACTTTCACTTTACATTGAAACATTGTATCTTGTCATGAAAAGCCGGAATAGAAGCTTGTGTAAGCGTCCAAATACCAAATGGAAACTCAAGCTCCTCAGCTGCTTGCAGCTCAGCAGCTCCCAAACCAGAGTTGGAGCCCTCCAGCTCTGCCGGCCAGCCCCAGCCCTTCACAGTCGCTGAAACAGAGAAGCAGAAACACATCCAGTCCCAGGACCGGAGGCAGAGCTGAGGAGAAGCAACCACAGCAGCTTCAGGTGCTTTTAAACCCTACACAGCGTGCAATCTATTTGCTCACATGTTGCGCTTTGCTGCCAACTCCTGGGGTGCTGCTGCAATTCCCCACCCTGTGCTAAAGCTTTATAGAAACCACAAAAGCTATGAGGCTGGAGCAAAACCACATCTTCATTTCTCACCTTAGTGTGCTTCAACGACTATTAACAGCTTTTGTTACTGGAAGGAAGGGAAAGTGTTTAATGTCTTCCAGGGAGGTCTTTCTGGCTAGGGGTGAGACAGGACACATCAGCATAGTAAAAAAAAAAGAAACACAATTAAAACAAGTTAGCACATAGAAATTAAGCTTTAGAGGACGATTCCTCTTCCTCAGCCTATCTGTATCACAAACTGGTGATTTATTTATCTGTAGTACTCACTATCATGCTATAAAACATGGGGAAAATTAGTAGGTAGCTTGAAAAGCCCCAAGCATTAAAAGATTTTATCTCCCGGGTCCATCTTCTGTTCTGCTCTCACATTTGCTTGCTGATTTCCCATACAGCTTTTCCTAGGCACTGGGGGGTGTATTTGCATCTTGTGTATCATCATGGCTTGAAAAACAAAAAGGGGGATTAACTTCTGAAGTGGCTTGTTTTCTAAATCTCAGCCATGTCTGAAAGACCCATATTGGTTTAGAGAGAGGAGATGAGTTGAATGAGCTCAAGCTAAGGCTCTGCTGCCAGTGAGGGTATTGCTCATGTGCCTCTTTCTCTCTTACACCTTTGACTTTTTTTAGGACATTTAGTGTTTTGGAGAGGATCTCCTTTCTTCCAGTGGCTTAGGTTAAAACTGGCTGAGAGGTTAACATGTCCTTAGGGAAAGAAAGACCCCATAAGGTTTTCTTCTGTGAAACATGAAAGGGGTGCAAGTGGCCACATGCCTGCTCACAGTGGGAGAGAGGATGGATGCTGGGCTCAGGTGGAAAAATACCCAAAAGCAGAAAGCAACAGGTCAGAGAAGGCCCGAAGAGAGCAAGAGGAGGGGATGGGGACCACAAAATAATGCATAGAGTCCCTTAGCTCAAGCACAAAGAGCACAAATACAGCTTCTTTTCAGAGACAAAGCAAATCTCCTAGCACCTGGAGGCTTGCCTGTAGCTAATTTAATGGGTCCAGCTCAGCCCCTCATCCCATATGATCAGTGAGTCATATGGAGTGTAAGTGGTTTAAGAATACATTAGTAGTGTTATATTGGCTGAAGCCTATTAAACAAGCAAAGGCCCCAGCATAATATCATTTCTTCACCACAGCTAAAAGTAAGTTCATGTGCAGTTTCAGTCATGCAGTAAGATCTGATTCCTTGGCCTCTCCTCTGCTGGCCACCAATGGGACATGGTGTTTTCAGCAGCAAAGAGTCTTGGAAAAAACACAGTATAAAATCACATCACTGGGTTAAAGAAAGTAAAAAAAGAAGGACTGAGAGAGAAAGAAATGGGGCTGGGTGCAGGACAGGAAACAAATACCTCATTGAGCTGTTATTCTGGTCATGGTGAAAGCCTAAGATCATTCGTAGGAGCCCTCACAAGTTCATAAACACCTTTATTTGTAGTTTCCAATTTGACTTTGTTCAAACTGGAGGGTACGAATCTGCTCCTGTCGCTAGCTGCTGATTCTGCTACTTTTCCAAGAAGAAATGGCTTTGCCTTTATTCAGCATGTGCCTCATAAAATAGGGATTAAGAGCAATTTTTTTAAAACATAGTTTTTGTAATAGTGCAGCCCCAAGCCCCTTCAATCAGCAAACTTTAGCATGACTTGACAGACTAAACTGCCATTCCTTAACCCACAGGACAAGAAGTGCCATTTGCACATGGTTGAGTGGCGAGCAAGAAAGATTCATGTCGCTTGCTAATTGCCTTTGGCTCTGCGCCACCGCACAAACACTTCAACACTGACTGCATTTCTGTTCCCAAGCCCATCTTGGTAAATGTCTTTTTCTGTATTCCACTGACTCAGGAGTGCATGTAGCTACAATTCTTTTAGAAAGGTGGGCCAGGAAAGGACAAGTGGCTATTGCTAGAAAGGTACAGGTAGGGAAAGTTCTCCAGCAATGCCTGTGAACAATTCAGGAGCCATAGAAGAGACCTCTTGGGCACAAAGCTCACATTGAAACCTACTGCAAATGTCTCTGGGTATTCAGTTCTTCATATAAAAACAGTGTGAACAGGGAGTTAATGTGGGAAGAGAACATTAACCTCCACATGGAAGAACTTGTCTTGTTTTCAATATTCTATCCTCAGCCATGTCTCCCAGTGATACTGGAGGTATCTGAGATGTCTATGGGAAATAGGGCTTCTTTAAGTGTATTTCAGGAGCCCAGGCTGGATACTCCTTCAAATGATCCTGGGCATCTCTGTGGACTGAAACCAATCACCCAGGTCCCTTTTCTGCCTGCGGACAGTACCACAAATCAGCTCAAAGCTGAGCCAAGTTTCAGCTATGCCTAATTCCCTACCCCTGATCCTTCAGAGATGGGTTGGGAATTGTAGAGGTAACTCCTGCAGCCCTGTCCACTGTGAAAAGCACTGCAGAAAAAAGCCAGGGGAAATGTGCAGTCCTGGGCTTCAGGCCAGAATCTGCAGCAAATAATACAAACAGGAATTGAGAACATTCAGACTAACTAAACCGCTGACCAGCCCTTCTTGAAATCACCTTCAGGTTCATTCAGTGGACAGAAAGATGGATCTAGATAAAGAGAAGTTCAGAGTGCCAGCAGCCTTAGAAAAGGGTTAGCTCTGATTCCAAGTTTAAACGGCATCAAGTCTTTCTTCAAGCCTTTGACTAATTAGTGGTAAATCGAAACAGTTTGTTCAACTGTTTAATGTGTTTCTCCTTATTTTCAAATGAGGATGTATTTCTCTTTTATGGATTAAAAGCTCGTTTGGGGGGGGGGGAGGAATCTACAAATGCCTAGTTCTCAGGTTTTTTGGTTTTTTGGGTTTGGTTTTTGGTTTGTTTTTTGGGGGGGGGGTTGGTAACTGCTTAGGCAAAGAAAAAAAACAACAAACAAACAAACAAAAAACCAAACAAAAAAGAAGCTTTCATAGTAAACATAAACATAAATTTGATCTGTGAATATCTTCTTGAAATGTTTTTCCAAGGCATGTCAGATTTATCCACTTCAGGTATCAAAACACTGTGTGCTACGCACAGCCCCAGACTTCATACACAGGGGAAAGGAGCAGACCTGTGGTGGTAGCATACACTGATAGGTAACGAAAGCATTCTCTGAGAAACCATTTCTGTATGTAAAATATGGCTACAGTTTCACAGGACCCATTACCTGTTTTGAACTTGCCAGGGCCAGATGATAGGAAGAAGCAAGATCAGGGACAGGTTTGTACTTGATGTTCTTACCTCCTCTATCGTGTAATGACTTTGCTACATTCCGATGACAGAGAAGGACTGATCTCAGTGTCTCCTAAGTCCTCTTATACAACCATCTGGGAAACAGAGTAGATTCTCTTTATGTTTGCAGGTGCATCTTCAAACTCCTGAGTCTTTGGGGGATATGGAACAAATACATTTATCCATGAGGGAAAACAAACAAATGAGATAATCACTGCCTTTATTTGTGAAAACACAAGATAGCATAGCCGGCATTAGGAGCACAGCTGCTCACCCCAGCAGCAGAAATAATCATCCTTATTGAGGAGGCATGTCAACAGCAAAGGGCAGATGTAGAGGTTGTGAGCTTCACTGCCATGCTCATCCGTCTGTGTGACTTGCAGAAATGATGGGAGGCACTACAAGGGATTACAGCCAACATCTTTATCCCCACAAAAGGGACTGCAATTGATTATTTCATTAGCATCATGAGGTTCTTGAACATTACAAATTGGTTTGGTCTTTCTTCCAAGGCTCCGGGGGCCAAGAACAGCTTCAACTTGCTCAGTCTCCACAGATTATGAAGAAAGTCACATTTAGAACTGCAGCAGGAGGGTAGCTGGGAGAGTGGATTTCATGCTGGAAATGAATTGCAATGTGTTCATAATGTGCTGTGAAGTCCCTCAGATTTTGCTGCTAGTCTGTAAAAGACAGCAAACATTTCCACTGCCAGCTGGCAGAGCATTCCCAAAGGGAAAGCAGACACTCTCCTAATCCTACCTTATGTAGGGAGGCTGAGTATAATCTGTGTGCATAGATGCAACATTTCACTAGCTCAGATGAGGACGTGGATGTTCAGATAATTGTTTGATAGGATAGAGGCAAATTCTTGTACATTCATGCCCCAGTGTTGGATTTACCAGTCAAAACAGCTTGGACGCTCATGATGTCTGGAGGTGAAGGACAAGCCCACACTTCAAAGCCATTCCGCAGTACTTCCACTGTGGTTGCACTTACTCTAGATCTTGGAAATGAGTCTTCTACTATCCAAACCTGAATTACCATTGAAAATACTACTGATGGAAATCAGAGAGAGGTGCTCCAGCAGGCTGTGGCTTACCAAGAGAAATCTTGCTACCAAGAAGACTGCAAGGAAATGCAATGCTGTAGAGAGGTTTAAAAAAGAAACCAATGTGGCAGAGGATAACCTCCACCCAGGGATGCAAGAGCAGTAGGTTCTCATCTCTCTGATGCTTTCAGATTTGCTCTCAGAGACCTCATCACCTTCTCTCAAAGCAACAACTGAACCCATAGAAAGGAAGATCCTTAGAGGTTTATAGACTGGATGAGTCTGAGCAGATGTTTTACAACTATGTCAAATGACACATTTGTGACAGCAGAGTGACTCTGTGCCAGTTCTCGAATCCTTGTTCCAAGCACTGGAGGTGTAGAGTTTCTCAAATAAACCATTATCAGAATTTGTTTAATACAAATGAAATGGCTTTTTTTTTTTTTCCTAATCTTGTTCTTATTGATCCTTCCTATGAAACAAACCAACATCTAATCAGCTTTTCAATATATCACAGGCTGGTAAAGGTCACCCAGATAACTACGTCAAACCAAAATACGAATTATGGATAATATTTTGAACCTAAAGACAGAATATATCTGTTACAGACAAGAACAGAAGAGAGCAGAATGCCATCAATATATTTTTAGATCTATGGCATGACATAAAAAAAATCCTGAACAAGCACCCTGTTCCTACATAATTTAGTGGTCTCTACTTTCCCCCTCTCTTGATGGAGCTCACTTGAGTTCCTTAAGCCTCACATCATGAAGTGGCTTTCCAGACCTGGATGCTTTAAGACCAGATTTGTTTGAATTTGCCCTGTGCTTCCTGTTGGTCTTGAAGCAATGATCATCAAAACCTGATGCAACACACCTAGAAATTCTCCCCAGCCTGTCCAATGCACCCCTTGTACCACACCAAGAGCTGCAGTGGCAAACTTGTGCAGTCTTGTTCTGAGCACTTTGGGAGAAGTCATCTTTTCCACCTCTCATGTTACCAGTTTAGCCTCCATTCCCTGTTCCCCAAAACATCATGTTTCTGTGCTAAAAAGCACAGAATGCTTTTTTGAAAGGTGAGCAGCTGGGAGGAGGAGCAATAGCACACCAAGTGTCAGTCTTGGTGTTTCAAAACCCCAGCTCTGCTGGCAGAAAGGGCATGAGAAATGGTCTTTTTCACTTCCAGGACTGGAACAGTTTCAGCAGTTGTCCTTGCTACTTACTCAGGAGCTCCTTTGCAAAGTTGGTTTTGATTTCCAGCCTGTGCTGCCAGAGTCAGAACCCTTTTCCCCCCCTCTGGTCAGTGGAGAAAGAAGGAGTCTTCTTGGGAATGACTCAGAAGTGGAGTCAGTCTGTCCTTACCACCAGCTCTGGTCAAAGTCTAAAAAGATTCACCTTCCAGTCTGGACATGAAAGATTACATGCCAGGTGCTGGCAGTTCCTGGTCAAAATTGTTCATGAAGGCTGAGAAAGTACGGACAATTATTTCATTTTAGAGGAGGAAAATGGAGGCACTGCAATCAGAGCCCTCACTTGGAATGGAGACTCACAAAGCTGACAAGTGAGGCTTTTTCTGACACATGAATGAGGTGCTAAATGCAGGAGGGACCTCTTTGGTCATGAATGCTAGGCTACAATTCTCCCCAATATGCCCCAAATATAATAGAATAGGGCCATATAGCAGACACGTTTTTACTCTTGCTTCTACTGTTCACTAAAGAAATTAGAAAGAATGGTTTTGGCAACCACAGTTTCTGGGAACTCCTTGGAATGCCTTTGCCTTCCTGATTGTACCTATGTACATCTTTTTGTTGTGACAGGGAAGTGCCACTGATACCTGCCAACCTTCCTGGCCATGTACCCAGATTGCCTTGCAGGGAAGAACAAACTCTTGCATGGCTAAGCTAAACCAGGGGTTTGCTTTTCCAGATCCTTTTCTCTTTGTTTGTAAAGCCCACTTACATTTCAGAGGCTGTATCGCCGAATATTTAAATGAGAAAGCCCTTCTTGGAGAAAATGAACCATGAAACACAGCACAGAGCTATGGGTCACAATAATAGAAAAGAAACAGATTACTAAAAAGGCAAAAATTCAGTCCAGGTATGGTTCCAGGTATTAGCAGGTGGTAGGAATAAAAGATGATGAATGCAAAGATAAACGCGGTGTCTCCTGATGTATTGAGATGAAAGCACACAGTCTGTATAGCGAAGTCAAGCATTTATGTCTGATTGTTCTCTGGGAACCTTTGGAAAGACAGTTCTGCTTGTGTTTTACTGAAATAGAAGCCAGACTGCATAAAATCATTAGGAACTGTGGTGTTTTTTTTTTTATTATCTGTGATTTTTTTCCATATGCTAATTGATCCCAGACTGCTATAAACCAAACAATAATAGCTGGGGGGAGAGCTGGAAGGATCTCTTCCTTTGCCAGTGATGAGCTATTGAGCATCTAATCATAACCAGGAGGTGGGAACCAAGCCCAGAGCCCTTCAGTGTCCAGTTCCCAGGAAGAAAGAAAGAATGAAAGTGTCTGAATGCAGTTTGGATCCAGCCATTTCAAGCAGGATTCAGAGGGGTACACACCTATGAGAACATCAGGGCCCTTCCCATTGTGTATCTGGAATAAGGAGCAAAAAAGACATGCTGGAGCAGAGCAACGACCATGCAAAGTTTTCCACAGCAACCTGAGCTACAAACCCATTGGTACCCCTGGAAAATCTTCCCTTCTTATACAAGAATAAGAGGATTGCAAAGGAAGTGAGCAGAAGCTGGTCTGGACAAACAGCAGGGCATGGATTCCTCTGCATGCTGTGTATGCCAAAGGATATGGTGACTTGTGAGAGGCTGCCTGCACTTGAGAGCAGAGTAGACAAGCCCATGGTGGGGAAATCCTGAATAGAGAGAAATTGCACAACAAAACCCCTGCTGTTGGAGCCTGAGGGAGTGTTTCTGGGGAGCATTACCTCGCTCAGAACATAATCCACATTGAAATAGATCCTTTATCCAAACAGACTTTAATCTGTCAAGGTCTAGAGAGACAATTATGCTAGTACAGGCTTTCTCCCTCTCTGTGGTTAGTACAAGTCCTCACAGAATACACTAAAACTCCTGTGCAATTATGTTAGATCCTTGTTTACTAGCCATTATCTTCACAGCTGGGAAAGACCTGCTCTCTGATGGTCATTACACCTTATCCAGGTGAATCCAAGCAGATGTAGCCTCTTATGTTCAGTACATGAAAAGAATATTCCTGCAAAGTGGTATCCCTTACAACTCATACAACATCTCTCACCATAAGTGCAGTTCAAGTGTTCATTGTTGCACAGGGTGGAGGTCAGACCCAGGAGGGAGACCTGTTGCAAGTAGGTTAAGAAGACAAAACAAGTCTTGTGTCACTGGTAGGGTGCAGGGAGAAAGGTGGGTGGGAACCTGGGAAGCATCAAAGATTCACTGTGCGTTACACAACAGTGTTCACAGCTCTGCACAGAAGATAAGCAAACACTGATGATTTCAGTAGGCTGAGAGCGATCCTCTGGGGAGAAATGGGCACTTGAAAAAGCCAGATTTCAGTCTTCTGTTAGTGAGCACTGCTGTCTTGGAGCTCATTTGAAGCTTGGCACCAAGAGAGGAGAATGCTGTTGGTGTTTCTCTAGCTGGAGAAAAGATGAAATCTTCCATTTATCACATCTCTGGCTTCTGGTGAGCTAACTGCTCCAGCGTTGCTTGTGTCTCCATTTATTGACAGTATATTAACCTCTGGGTAAAATGATAGGCCTCAGCAACTTCACAGTGGCCTTTATACTATTTGCAGTGACTGCTAAATACCACAGCAGATAATCTTATTTATTCAGTGCATTGCTGATGTCAATTACAGTGGGACCCCCGTCTGGAAATGGAAAGAACCCCCTGCAAGAGGCTGGCATGAATTCATTATGAATCAGTGCTGCTCGAATAAAGCATCTATGGAGAATATCTAAGCAGTGACCTTCATACAAAATGTATCACATAACACTTCCTATTAAAATAATCATAAACACAGTAAGCAGTAAACAAAACAATCAGAATGTGTCTTGAAAATAAATGCAGAGAGGGGATGGTAGATGGAAGAGGGATTAAATTTCCATTTAGGTTTTACAGGCAACAAAGGATTGTGGGTTTTTTTCTTTTCAAACAGTGTTTCCAAAATCAATAACGGAGGGAGGGAAATGGTGTGATTAGTAACATGGTGAGTAATTGCACCAGTTTGTCACCACTCGTGTTCAATGTTAGAGCATCTATTAAGAAAGGAGGCTGTTGGAACTGGCCCCAGTCAATATTTGTCCATAGCTCAGAAAAAGTCCTGCAGTCTCACTAAATTCTGTATGATTTTAGATCTGACACTTTACCTCTGCCAACATCTGTTCTTCTCATCATGATTAGACTAGCAGGCTTCAAGATAAAATCAACATGGTGCCAGATGACACATGTACATGCAGAGCAAGGTAATGCCATCCTGTGATTTACATGATGGGAAAACAGAATTACAAAGCAGCTTGCCAAAGGGCAGTCAAGTGAGATGACAGAGCTGAGTGTTGTATTGGAACCCTGTACCCCTGTCAGGGGCTGTGGCAGAGTTGAAGCCAAAGGATTAGACCCTTTCTGTCTTTTTGAGATGCTACAAATGAAGTCTCACTTACTTTTCAGATAGATACAAGTCTTACTACGTTCAGACCCATGCTGGTAGGAAAGGTGATGCCCTGGAGGAGTAGGCAAGCTGTCTTGCGGTTCCTTTGTGCATTGTGCAGACATACCAAAGGCTGCTGAAAAGTCTTAGGCTAGTCCCTCTCAGCTAGATACAGTAGGCTGTCATTGACAATGGAGAGCTCTTTAGCAGGAGCAGTGGCTGTTCACTGCTGTCATATTATCTACCTTATGGGTCTTGTAGGGGTCTCCTTCCCCATCAGTAAACACCATATAGTTTTACCTGTGCCTAGCCTGCTTTGCACTATTTAGAAGACATTCTAGCTTGAGGAGACACATGTTCTTTCTTTCCCTGATTTTCCACATATTTCTTTAAAATAACTGATTTTTCCTTCTAGACCTGCTTTACAGTCTTGCACATCATAGCATGCAGAGTATCTCACCTGCAGTTACTCCAGTTACTGCTTTTCTCTTTCATACACACAGTCACTGCCTTTGTTCTTCTGTTGGATGATATCCCCACCAACTGGACATCCAACCCTTGCCAGGAGACCTGCAAAAACAGGGGAAAGATCTCAGCATTCAAGATGGAGATTGTTCTTGCAGTTTCAGCCCCTCTCCCACCCTCACCCCACCAGTCTGAGTGCACTGACATTTTCATTCTGCATCCACCTCGTTTCTTTTCCTGCAATTCCACTCTGCCTTCATTTCAGCCTTCAACATAATCTCTAGAAACACATTAATTTTCATTTTGTCCTACCTAGATTAGCTACAATCTCTACCTACACAAGAAAAGAACAAGAAAGAATTGTGGCTCTAGAGGCAGCCTTTTTTTCCTGAGGTTTTAATTTATTTTGCAAGTTCCAGTTAAGTTTGAATTTCTCAATTTTCCTTTTCTCTCTACAATTTCTGACCTCCATGTCACATCTCTCTTTGATGTTCAGTCTTTTTTCTCTCCTTTCTGCAGGTTCTCAACTTACTGCTAATATATTTTTAGAGACAGTTAGTCATCCTGTCATAGCTGGAATTTTTTCAAACATATTTTCCCTGTTACTTGTCAGACAACTTCCAGACTGCCTTCTAACTTTCAGGCTTCCAAGTTTTCCAACAAGTTTCCAACAAGTTTCCTGGATTTCCCCAAGTTTGTCCTTGTGAATTTGAGAGAGATCTACATTTACTTTTTTCCCCTTCAATTTTGAATAGCCTTCTCATGGGTAGTCACCAGCATTGTTTTGTATGACCAATCCAACAGCAGCAAGCAAGTCTAAATGACAATGAATTTGTGGAATTGGATCCTGTCTGAAGAAATCTTCCCATCACATCCACAGTCATATCTATAGATGTGGGGTTGTTCTCTTGTCCTCTTCTTTCCTCTGTATGCCAGGAGATCCCAGGCTGTCCTCCCTCTCTGGCTGCATTCCCCACACCCACTTAATATCCCCCTTAAAGATGCTGCAGTTACAAAGCAGTGCCATTCACATCCCAACTAACAGAAATGTTCACCTACACTTCCACTGTCTTCTTAGTTCCTTACAGTCACTCGTTTGCTGCCATTATGTTCTCTCCTTTGCCCTTATCTGTAATAAAAATGTTAATTGTATGATCTTATCTAAGGGGTTCTTCCCTTCCTTTAGTGGCAATGCTCAATGAATGAGGCAGGTTTGACATTTGCTTTTAGACTCTCTTTTCAACAATCCCATATCACTGAAAATCATTCACCCTAAGAAACTGCTTTTTTAACTGAGTATTGTCAATGAGTAACTATCGATGCTTTTCTTCTGATTAGCACTAATGAATCTAATAGCATGCTTTTATCAGTATTACTTCACATTATATAGTTTATTGATGTACTTTGGTGCCTATTTTCTATAATGAAAACTATGAAATTGCATATCTATCATGACTAAGTGGTGATGCAACTCACAGCCAACTTTAATTGTTGATTCCTTCAGTGAGAAAGTGATCTTAGAAGCTATAACCACAAAAAGCCACAGAGTTATTTTTCCCAATAAATAACCTGCTTTCCCATGAAGGCAGAAAATTTAAACTGATAAAGGAAAATAGATTTTCATATGCAGCATAATTAGTCCATGGGACTTCTCACTACAGAAAGTCATTCAGCTCAAGAATATTGCAAGATTAAAAACCCCCTCAGGCATTAAATGTGCAGTCAGAAGCCCACAGTCATTATACCTATGGCTGAAAAGGGTTTGGAAGTGATATGAAGTTGCATACCCTAAGTTTGTGGGTCGCTTCTATAGATCAAGATAAGTCTTTAGGCAGGACACGAAAATATCTAAAAACTGAGGGTCTTGTCCCACTTTAGAAAGTATCTGGTGAGGAGCAAGGTAGAAAACTACCTAAGCATGTGACTTACCAAAGGTTGGATATCCCCGTATCTCCTGTTTAACTCCAATCCGGTGAACATATTTCCACAGGGAAAAAGAAGTCTCAGTCATTCAAACTGCTACTGCTACATCCTCCTGTTTATAATGAAATAACTTCCTTTAGTTTCTAATACATTAAAATGAGTTCTTTCTAACACTTATTTATGAGATTAACCCAGTTTACAATGTTAGGATAAATGTCATAAAACAACTGTCACGTTTCAGAAAATTTTTCAGTTTCATCTAAACTCTGTATTTTACATTGCTTTTAATCTAGGGAAAACATTGGAGTCTCTGCAAAATGTGAACTTTTTCTGCAAAATGTGAACTTTTTCTGACTTGTAAAACTGGAACTTTTTCTCTCCCCTCCCACCCCAAATCAGTAGGTTTTTAAGCAAATAAGAGGGTGATTTTAAGGGCTAAATGATCAAAACATGTTTCCAGCCAAGCAGTGGTACAGGCAGGCTGTGGACTGAGGGGTTACAGTTGCTCATGAGAATGCAGAGGTGGGGTGTTCAGATGACAGCTTGACACATCTCCAGCAGCTAATCCAAGCCCACCCTGGTTTTAAATGCACATTCCTATTCCACATGCTGGTGGGAGATCACCAGCACTCAATTTTGAAGTTACTCATGACTCTGGGACAGGCTTTTGACCATTTGGTGTGGCTGTTCCTGTGACATCAATGATCAGAAGCTCATTGGACAAACCAAACTGAACTGTGTCTGTTGTTCAAGAGGCATACAGCAATGTGAGCAAGGGGACAAAGTCTTCATCCCACTTTCTTCTATTTCCACCGAATTCCTGGCATGATTTACAGTTCCTGTATGTTGCTTGGCCCCGACCTGCACTGGGATGGGGGACACAGGGGACCTGTCTCCTCCAGGTCAAGCCAGCTGTGCCACATCTGTCGTGTCAAGGCTGAAACGGAGTAACCCTGACATCTAGTGGCTTTCAGAGCCCAAATCCTGTACATCCCCCAACTGAGCAGAGTGGGGCTGAGCAGGAGACACTACAGGCTGTCTCCGGGGGTCACCTTCCATGGATGCAGCCAACAGCCTTTCTGCAGGGCAAAAAAAGATACTGGCAATCATCACTGCTCCAAGGGACATTGTTAATAAATTACATGGTCCCTCCTGTTTTTCAACATGCTGTTGGGTTTTGTCTCTCTGTCTCTGATAGTCCCTGTGCTGGAGACTATTTTATGGCCTCCTCTGGGCTTGGAACAATGGGTTTCAGTAGACAAAGACCTGTGCAGCCTCCCATGCATGAAGACACTCAGCAACGTTAGAGGAACAGGCAGGAGGAGGTGCCAAGCAGTGGGGATGGGGAGTTCCCAGTGTGACCTCTTCCTATATTAATGGGGAAGGAGAAAGGGGCACTCTGTAAAACTGTATGGAGGCCCCTGCTTTTCACTCATGCTGCCAAGGTGGCTTTTGTAGGAGGTATTTTACAACAAAACCTTCTCCAAACAAAAACACCCACTGTCTACTCTCAGCAGGGAGTAACAGGGATTTTGACAGGGATGTCCCTTTTGCAGATGCAGGCATTCTGCACTCTTGCAGGCAGTCAGGCAAGACAATGTCTCAGGGCACTGTGCTTTTGGTGTCCCTGTCCCCTGGCTGGGTTCCTAAACCCTGATGCTGACCTGCTGTCATGCCCCAGACCCTGCCATGGTCCCTAGGTGTTACTGTGTGCCAGCACTTCCAGCTAAGACAAGCTGGAAATCCTCCTCAAGCTCCCCTGGTCAACAAAACTATCACAGTTGTGCAAACCACCAAGAAACAGAAGCAGTGAGGTTGACTGGGTAGTAGGAATAGGGTTTTTTCACACCACTTCCAATGAATACAGCAAGCCTGTGTTCTCTGGCAAATAGAAATGTAGGTCCCGCAGTGTCTGCTGGATGAAGAAATTCACACAAAAGCAGCTTGAGAAGCACAAACAAGCAGCAAACAGTAATCACAGAGATCCATGCGTGCTGGTGCTCTTGTCACCAGTCCCCTGGCACCCGCATGCACTGCAGCACTGCAGGCAGGAGCCAGGGGAAGCTAAAGGACAGCATTCTCACTTTTGCTACCATTTTCCCTGCTGAAAACATATTTATCAGGAATATGGGAAAGCCAAACACCCCCACCAACACTTTCAGCAGTTTGCACACAAGGTTGTGTCACAGTGCTCCACAGCCTTTCAGCCCTGGGTTTGGCACTGATCCTGCACCATCAGCTGGTATCATGGCCTTCCCAAAACCCAAGCCCTGTGCCTACATGGGTCACCACAGGGTTGGTGCCCACCTAAGCAGATGAGGCAGGCCTGGGATAGGGCAAGGTGGAGCACAGCCCCATAAGCATACCGTAAGACACCGTTACGCTCTTAGTGTTCATCAATAACCCATGGTGAACACCTCATTCATTCTGAATCACTGCCACCTTCTCCCTGCTGCAGCCAGTGGGAGACAAGGCACCAATTATGGGATGAACAGATAACACCCCCGCCACTTGAACCCCTCCAGCTGTGGCTTGTAGAAGCCCCCAGTCTGACTTTGTGGGTGCATGAAATCCTGCTTGCACAGCACCATTACCACTTCTGCATCCTGCTCCCTGCACACAGAGTGAGGCTGTACCTGTTTCAGGGTGGGGAGGGGCAAATGAATGGACGTAATGTGGGCAGGGACGTGGGCTTCTGGGAAGCCAGTGCTCTGTCCCATCCCTACTGTCTTGTCCAGCAAGGAATGCAAAGAGTGTCCCCATTTTGACAGGCAACAGCAGCCATCCTCCTCCTCCTGCCACTTCCTCTCCCTATGTGAAGGATTCACCATGATTTTCTGCTTACTTCCAGCTGTGTTTACAGTCACAGGATTTCTTACTTCTCATGAAAGCCACTCCCAGGGTGAAATTTGAGTTTGTAAATTATTAAAATGTTATCAAGAGCATGCAGACTTTCCCGGTTTTTTTCCCCTTTTCCTGGTGGGAAATAAGCTGATGTATAATGCAATTTTCCCCCCACAGTTTCTTCAGTTATGTTTAAAAATTATACACACACGCACACACAGGCAGATCTAAACCTTATTTCCATGTATTAGAAGTCTCTTTGGGCCAGACGTTTTATCTTCCTCTCCTTCCGCACAGTGCTGAGCAAACGTAGGGTGGTGTCATTATATGAATAATGTGCAATAATAAATTCAGAATTCTTAGTTTCTGAATGTATCTTCATAATAAATTACTTTAAATGCTTGTTTCTGAGAGAGAAAGAGCAGATGAGAGCACATATATGGTACACAATTATTACTGTTCCTTACCATGCAGAGCAAGCACCAATACTTCTATTTACAGTTTTCTGACAATATCTCCTTTATATATATAAAAAACCCACCTGCTTATAATTTTGCTAGATTTTAATTCTTTGGGCTAAACTTGCTTGGCTGGGTGCCTGGCGGGGTTCAGCTTTTCTTGGCAGGTGAAGTAAGCAAAATCTTGTCTTTTTCCCTCTCACATTTAAACAGTTTTACTACCTAATGGAGTTTCTGTGCTCCCAGGCAGAAAAGCCCACTGTTTGTCAGAGCGGCTGAAGCCAATGGTGGCGTCTTGGAAATTCACCCAAACTTAGTCCAAGCCAATAGCCCCTGAAAAAGCCAGTTTACACCATCCCTTTTATCTATTTGTTGGTGACTGGAAGCTGAAACCTCAGAGGCTAGGCTCTAACTAAAGGAGAAAACCAATGAAGAAATGGAAAGAAAAGCAAGAGAGCAGAAGGATGATGTAGTAGCAGTAGGACAGGCCTGGAAAGGGTGCAAGGAAGGAGCTTGCAAAAGATGGGATAGGAGCTGAGGATGTCAAAGAGCATGACTTTGGATGAGGAGATGAAGCTGGGAAGGTGTACAGGAAGACACAAGAACCATTTTAGTTTTCTCCTTAACTCCATGGACTGGTCTGCAGGGAAGGAAAAAATCACTTTCTAGCTCCTCCATGAGCTTCAAGGGATGCACTGGAAGGAACGTGGCTTTGCTCTGTGCACTGGAAGCTGTTCTTCTGCCCCCTGCCCGAAGGTTTCTTAAGCACACACATGCACACGCTCATGCATGAACTAAAGAGCAAGTGCTGTAATGAAATGTTCAGAAACAAGCAATTATCCAGGCTCCTTTCCTAGTCAATGTGATGTAAGAGAAACTCTTCCACAGGGACTCATCCAACCCATTCCAGGAAGTTGTTTTCATACTTTCTAGAGGTCAACTGGAAATTGCTCAGCTCAGGATATTTAGCTTTCAGAGGGCTACCACTGAGCGTGCACGGGTGAGGATCTCCATCCCTGGCTCTGCAGACATGCCTGGCATTTGCAATCCCAAACAGAGGCTGCTAGAGACTTGCTTTGAACCAGTTGCACTAAAATTGAGAGGATGTGGTGTCTTGGACACCTGAGTGGCAGAGAAGATCCTCTCACTGCTCAATGCCTGTAAAAGTCTGGGCTTCCCTTTCTCTGGCCAGCCATTCACCCTTTATTTCACCTATCTTTTTTGTTCAACAAATTTATTACATGCTGTCTAGAAATGCTAACACACTGCTTTAAATAACTATGTTCTCCCAGCTCCATGATGATGTTCTCAACATTCCCTCCCACATGGGAAGAGACCCTCCTCTCAGGTAACATCATACCCTCTTCTGGGAGCATTCCAGCCAGAACTGTCCTGACAGTTTCTACCCCAAAACTTCTTTTAGCTCATCAGATTTATGCTAAAGTAGAACCTGTCACAGAATTTTGTGCTAGGAGGTTCAGTGATATCTACTCTCACTTCACGTTCCCTACTCCATTCACTGCAGCCACGTAAGCTTTCAGCAGGTCATCCAGAAGAGAAGGGAGCTTTTCTCGTCATTGTGAAGGCTTTTCTGTGCCCTGGGACTCAGACCTGCACATCTTGCAGACAAGCCACCAAGCTTCCTGGGAGCACATGTTCACAAAGCTGACACATACATTCAGTTGCTCCCCTCCTGAGGCCAAAGCAGCATCCTGGAGGGAAGCTGAGCTTTAGCAGAAGCTTTCCCCATTACACATCTGGCAAGACTGGT